TAAGGCTAGCTCAATTTGGGCTCTCAGAACTGACAACCAGGTTCAGGTCTGGGGTAAGGAAAGAGCTCTTTAATTAGGAAGACTAATGTCCATTTAACTGCACTGGGAAATCTTCTGCGCACTTGTTGGGGCCCAGTTGGTGCACTGCAAGAATTCAGATGTCCTTGGTTGCAAGAGGTGGAAGTCCCTCAAAAGGATTTACAGATCACTCCCATACTTAAAAAGCCATCGCTGGACCCCACCAACTTGAACACAACTTAAGACCCATCTTCTTGCTCCCATTCACCTCTAAACTTCTAGATCGCTAAGTCTACAAATGTCTTAGCTCCTAACTTACTGAAAACAACCTTCTTGATCCCCTACAGTCTAGCTTTCGCTCGCAGTACTCCACAGAATCTGCCCTACTAAAACTCACTAACAATTTACTAACTGCTAAAACCAATGGCCACTACTCCATACTCTTACTAGTAGACCTCTCTACAGCCTTTAATACTGTTGACCACATGCTCCTTCTCAATAAACTCCACTGCCTTGGTATCCAAGATTCAGCACTATTCTGGTTCTTCTCCTTCCTGTCACATCACTCCTTCAGTGTTACCTATAACTCTGTCTCCTCCTCTCCACATTCTCTTTCTGTAGAGGCCCCCAAGGCTCTGTTCTTGGACACCTCCTTTTCTTTATCTACACCTCCTCTCTTGGTCACCTGATCACCTCTCTTGGCTTCAAATACCTCCTCTATGCCGATGACACCCAAATCTATCTTGCTACTCCTCACCTGACTCCTTAAGTCTCCTCTTGCATTACTAACTTACTAACTGACATTGCATGGATGTCGCACCACTTCCTTTAACTAAATCTCTCTAAAACTGAGCTGATCATATCCCCTCCCCCTGGTGCATTCCTACATGAATTTTCCTTCAAGATCAATAATATAGCTATTAGTCCCTCCCCTCAAGCCAGGGTACTTGGTGTAATCCTAGACTCTGAACAATCTTTTTTACCCCAAATCTGATCACTGTCAAAAGCTTGTAGACTTCACCTCAGTAACATCTCTAAAATTCGCCCCTTTTTAACCAATGAAACCACCAAGCCACTCCTTCACTCCCTTGTTATCTCTCGCCCTGACTTTTGCAACTCCCTTCTCACAGGCCTACCTCTCCATAGGCTATCCCCTCTTCAGTTTATCATGAATGCTGCTGCCAGGATCATCTACATTACCAACCACTCAGTGTCTGACACCCCTCTCTTCCAATCCCTCCACCGGATTCTGATTGCCCAGTGAATTAAATTCAAAATACTAACAATACACAAAGCCATCCACAACTCTGCCCCAAGCTATGTCACCAATTTTGTCTCCAAGTATCACCCAAACTGTCCACTCCATTCCTCCCATGATTTCCAGCTCTCAAGCTCCCTTGTCTCCTCTTTACATGCTCGTCTCCAGGACTTTGCCAGAGCTTCTCCCATCCTCTGAAACTCTCTATCTCAATCTGTCTAGCTATTCCCTACTCTGGCTGCCTTAGACGATCCCTGAAATTTCATCTCTTCAGGGAAGCCTATCATGCCTCCGAATAGACAATTATCACTTCTTTTAGTTTATCCCCAACAGTTAAAACCTTTTGGCCCATATGCACGACCCTGTTAGATTGTAAGCTCTTATGAGTAGGGCCATCTTAATCCTCTTGTTTTGTTTGTATTTTAGTTGTACTGACTCTTTATATTGTAAAGCTCTGCGCAAACTGTTGGCGTTATATAAGTCCTGTATAATAATAATAACAAAAGACACTCAGCCACACAATGAAGTTGTACAAGGAGCTGTTCAAGTAATCAAGCAACTTCTCCTAGATTGTAAGCTCCAAGGAGCAGGGCCCTCCTATCCCTCTTGTATTGAACTGTATTGTTGCAGTATTGTCTCCCGTTATAATGTAAAGCGCTGAGCAAACTGTTGGTGCTATATAAATCCTGTATTATAATAATAATAATAACTTACTTCTGTGGACATAGGTGACGACCCTGTGGCATGCCTGCTACATCTCTCCGAGAGAAATACAAGTCCTCTCTGACCATTTCCTTGCTTTGTGTGGTGGAGGCATGTATCCCGCTCTGCTGGAAGCAACCTAAATCTCCATCAAAGTCTCTATGGTTCATTAACATAAATGAGATTAGGGAAATGGAGGACCTTATGTCTGCTTTACACATCATGGAGAAAATCTTCTAAACAATCTGGAGACCCTCGCACTACTTTGTGTACACTGATGCTTACCTGTCTACAAAAGAGCATTCTGCGTGACCCATTGAACCCCATACTTGCCTCCCTGGGATAGGCCCTGTCTTCCTCTCACCCCATCCCTTTCCCCCTTGGCCCTTTTCTGCACCCCTCCTTTACTTTCAACAGCAGGGTCAGCAAGGTATCTTTACATTCATTGCCCTACACCCATTTTTATTGCTATGACAAGATATGCCTTATCCCTTCTTCTATAAGTGTGTATGCCAGGAGATCGGTACATTAGGGCGTTCTATTTGGTATGCAAGTTTGTTTTTCTTGACTACTGTTCTTTTTATACACTACTCAGGCTGATCAGTTACTGTCCATGTCCAAGATGTACCTATTTGCCTTTTTTCTTTCGATAACCGTGGGATCACCTTTGAAATTTGTCTTATTCTACGCTCCCTTATTTTGTATTGACTTTGGATGGCACTTTATGTCATATTACTCCGTTTCTGTGATCCTGTTAAGAATTATCAAAAAGAAGCTGTTCAATCTGAAAGTGCGTAAGATATTCTTTACTGGTAGAGCGGTGAGGATGTGGAACTCCCTTCCACAGTTGGTGGTGTCAGTGGGGAATGTAGAGTAATAAAAAAACTATTTAGATGTGTTTTTTAGTAAACACATAGTACAGGGACATGGAAAATGGTGGTAACATAAACACACACCCACACAGGTTGAACTGAATGGACAAATGTCTTTATTCAGCCTTAGCATGTAACTTTGTAACTGCTTTAATGCAGATGTAAAAATATTGAACATGACTTTTGAAAATACATTAAAGTGTAACTAAACTAATGACCCTGCATCCACTATAGCTGGTCTTCCACAGTACACAGACCATGGAAGTGCATTTATTTTAGTAAATATAAATTGCTAAATACCTTTTCTCATCAGCAGTATATAGCAGTCTTGTGACTTTTATCAGTGTCCAGCTGAGCACTAGATAATCTTGTAGGAGGAGTTTTCATTCTGCTTTGACTGTCCTATGAGATGGTATGACCCCTGACCCTCTGTCCGGACAGAGCTAAATGGCCCTGTGCTGATCACATGCACCCTCCCAAAACAAATACACACCAAAGAGAGCATGTGCAGACTTGCCACTGATGCTCTGTACTATGACAGATGGATTGGGGACAGTAAAAGAAGGGGAGGATCAGAGAAGACAGGATCAATCAGCCTTTTTATACAATGCGAAATATTAACCCTATAGGTACCACCGTGAGTATTACACTTAACACTTTAACATATTAATCCTTATATGAGATTTCAGAGACTGGGTTTACGTCTATATTAAATTCGAGGCTAACAGCTAAATACACCTTAGATTGTACACTCCCTTGAGGGTTAGGGACTGATGTGAATGTACAATATATATGTAAAGCGCTGCGTAAATTAATGTCGCTATATAAGTACCTGCAATAAATAAATGCACTGATGAATTGCACACATGAGAGCTGTTTTACTTGCCAAAGGATCTGTAATTTTGTCTCTTCAGTCCTGAGATTTTTACAGCTCTGCGACACAGCACAGCCCTGTCTAGCTTGGGAGGGGAACTGGACTTTCTCTGCTGCATGTTCACTTTCACTTACAGGTCCCTTCTCTACCCTGTGTTTGGACAGCTAAAAAAAAAAACAGCCAGAACTGTTTTTGCATTTTATGCACACGTGTTTAAAAAATAATTTCAGGCCTGAAGATTACACAAAATCCACAACATTGTATATTTTCTGAAAGCAGACACCCTAGAGAATAAAATAGTGGTAGTTACAATTTCTTATGTCACACGATATTACCGCAAAGGTCTAGCAAATGCAAAAATTCAGTAAACAACACAAAGTGAATTTTAGGGCAAACAAATGCAATAAATTACCCACATTTTTTTTTAAATATAAAAATAGATACCCAACATGCCAAACCTTAAATTTGTGTGAGCCTATGAAATGGCGACAAACTTCAGTACCCTACATTTTCTATAGGCGACACTTCAAAAGCCCCTATAGGTCACCAGTTTAGAGTTATGGAGTAAGTCTTGAGCTAGAATTATAGCTCTCACTCGGGCAGACGTGGCGATATGTAACATGTGTATTGCAATTGGCGGTTTCACACCTGACATGTGCATTTACATTCATGTGTGGTGTATGTGGGCATGGGGGGGCCTCAAATGTTTTTTTTCGGGGGGGATGTTATGTGCTTGGGTGTAACTTTATTTTTTTTGCAATAAAATACATTTTTTTACTTCAATTTTTTTTTTCATCACACAAAGTAGGCTGTGGAAGGGACCTTGCGGCAGCGCAGCCTCCTGACTGCTTCCACCTGATAGGCAAGAGTTCGCCTGTCAGTTTTATACACAATCCCAATGGCTGCAGCCACCGAATTGTGTATAACCCCCCCACTCTCATGTCCGTACAATGTACAGACATGGGAGCAAAAGCGTTAAAATAGAATTAAAGGCGATTTTTTTTCCATTTCGGGTAGAGTAGGGGTGAGTTATGACCCTTTTATTTATTTATTTATTTTTTTATTATTTATTTATTTATTTATGCTATCTGCAGGGGCGGACTGACCATTTGGAAACCCAGGCACTGCCCGAGGGCCCGGAGTCAGTAGGGGGCCCCATGAGATGCCCCTGGTACCTTTTTCATAGGCTTTTTTGAGTTTGGGCAAGGACAGAAGGACCCATGATCCCCTATTGCCCGGGGGCCCCATGAGTTGTCATTCCACCCCTGGCTATCTGTGTCTCATTGGAGTGATTTTCGTATACTTCCTGTCCCATAGCCAAAATAAAAAGTGAGAGGAAATCCCTCCAAAGTTAGGGAATCCCTGGTTGTTACCAGAACCAGTGCCCCCATTGGAAGATTTCCCTCTACTCCTGTTCCAGTGAGAACCCAAAATTTGGGATTTTTCTTTTGCTTTCCAACTGGTCAAATGGAGAGGGTGAACCTTCCTAATGGGGATACAGTCAGCAATAAAAAAAACCTGACAAGTGTTCTAATCGCTCTTCATGCTACCAAAACTAAAAAATAAAGTTTTTGCCTTTAGTTATACTTTAAATGCAGTAATAGTTGATAAAATAGTTGTAATTGTTGTGTTTGGTGCTACTCGAAATTTTTTTCAGTCTGGTTAGTCTGTTCACCTTGGTCGGTATTCTATTTCCATACAACTTCCATTGGACACAAGCATATTGCGTGATACTGTTATTTTCATAGACTTTATGGAGTGTATAACAGTAGATGTCAAGCCGAGCTCAGCGACGTGTCTGATATAATAGAATGTACAGCCGGTGTCCTTCAGATGTCTGCCTGGAATGTCTCACTGCAATTATACCATCAATGGCTCTATAAAATGTTTGTCATTGATGTGTGCGGTCCTCAGTGCGCCGCAGACTAGGGATTGGATAATATTATTATTTTATTGTCTTATTCAATTAATTAAGACAAATTCATTAGTCCAGCTTAAGCGTGTTTTTAATATTACATCAAACAGCTAGCATCCTTGACAACCTTTTGCAGCTCTCTTTTAAATGTTTAATCAGGGTTTTAAAATTTCATAAGCCGATGTGCAGTCACACAGCTTCGTTATTTTTCATGTTTGAAGATTTTTCAACGTTCAAATTGAATCTTTAAATCCCTTTCATGGCTTCAAGGGACCTGGTGTAAAACAATATTTCATGGTTTTAACCATTTCTTTTTTTACCCTTTTCCCAATATCAATTAAAGAAAAAATTAATTTGTTCCTTAATAGATTCAGGAAACTCAAGCAGTGCTGCTAATATTCATTGACAAGCCATAACATTATGATGACCCACCTAATTTTGAATAGGTCCTCCTTTTGACACCAAAACAGCCTTGAACTGTTGCGGCATGGACGTCTGAAGGTATGCTGTGGTATCTGGCACCAAGCAGTCAGCAGATCCTTTAAGTCCTGTAAGTTATGAGGTGGGGTCTCCATAGACTTGTTTTTCCGGCACATCCCACAGATGCTCGACGGATTGAGATCTGGAGAATTTTGAGACCAAGGCAACACCTCAAGTTTGTTGTTGAGCAGGGCTGACAACTCATGGGGCCCCTGGGCAATAGGGGATCATGGGGCCCCTGTGTCCTTGACCAAACTCAAAAAAGCCTATGAAATAGGTACCAGGGGCATCTCATGGGGCCCCTACTGACCCCGAGCCCTCGGCAGTGCCCGAGTTTCCAAATGATCAGTCCGCCCCTGTTGTTAAGTTCCTGAAACCATTCTTGAATCATTTTGCAGTTTGGCAGGGTGCATTATCCTGTTGAAAGAGTTCACTGCAATCAGGGAATACAATTTCCATGAAGGGGTGTACTTCATCAGCAACAATATTTAGGTAAGTGGTACATGTCAAGTAACATAAACATGAATGTCAAGACCCAAGGTTTCCAAGCTGAACATTGCCCAAATCATCACACTGCTTCTTCAGCTTGCCATCTTCCCATAGTGCATTCTGGTTTCATCTCCTTCCCAGGTAAGTGAAGCACAGGGCAGACTGACAACTCATGGGGCCCCCGGGCAATAGGGGATCATGGGGCCCCTGTGTCCTTGCCCAAGCTCAAAAAAGCCTATGAAAAAGGTACCACGGGCATCTCATAGGGCCCCCTACTGACCCTGGGCCCTCGAGCAGTGCCCGAGTTTCCAAATGGTCAGTCCGCCCCTGGTGAAGCACATGCACCCGGCCATCTACATGATCTAAAAGAAAACATGATTCATTAGACCAGTCTGCCTTCTTCCATTGCTCTGTGGTCCAGTTCTGACCAGTGGTGTTTTTAGGTTTCATGCTGCCCTAGGCAACACAAAAATTGGCTCCCCCCCCCATGGAGAGACCCTGACACTGACAAACACCCCCCTCCCCCCCACGAAAACAGCCTGACATTGACCAACAACACCCCAACCGTGAGAGCCTTCCACTACCACCGCCCCTTATACACTGGCAACCCCCCACCCCACCCTGGTAAGAGAGAAGACACTCACGTTCACAGCTCCAGACACACCCGGGAACAAGAGTCACACTCTCTCTTCATACACCATCAAGCAGCCCCTCTCAGATCCCACCTGGTCCCCATGCTGCATGTGTCCTTTCTTCCATCCCTGAAAAGTACCGCTGCCCCACTGAAAAATGCTGCTGCCCCCCCCTGAAAAAATGCCACCCTAGGCAAATGCCTTGTTTGCCTTGTGGTAAATACGCCCCTGGTTCTGACGATGATGTGCCCATTGTAGGTGCTTTTGGCTATGAACATGTGTCAGCATGAGCACCCTGACCAGTCTACAGCTACACAGCCCCATACACAACAAACTGTGCTGCCTATTTTTTCTGCTTCCAACACATCAACTTCAGGAATAACATGTCCACTTGCTGCCTAATATATCCCACAGATTTTCAGATGCCACTGTAACAAGATAATCATTGTTAATCACTTGTAAATCACTTGATTCACCTGCCAGTGATCTTAATGTTATGGCTGATCAGTGTAAGCTTTAATGTATAATAGCTTATATGCCTTGTTTTGGATGGGCTAGGTGTGACGGAGTGCCTTTCACCCCAATTGGGGTGAAGAGAGCTTCCTCCCCACTGGGATACAGAACCAAGGTATTAAAGATAGGTATTGCACCCAAGACTAAGTGACACTAGCTTAGGTGCAAAAAATGGAACTGTTTATTAAACAGAAATACAGGTTTTTATACTCTTCAGAAATAGGGCAGTCCCCAGATAAACAATAGAAACAAATATTATACATTGGGAAAAACATCCCACACTGATTAGGTAAGAGCTTGGTCACATTATCCTAAACAGTGCAAACTGTAAACAGTACAGCCAACACCTAACAGTGATCTAATTAACAGTAGCTAATTAACAGCTAAGCACCCAGACAAGCCAGGGAGTCCACCACAGACAGCCCATCAACAAGCCCACCCCTGAATACACAAAGTCCATTACACATACTGTCTTTCAGGTGTTTGTTTTCACTTGTATAATCTGTCCATCATAAGACAAAACTCATACAATATTCCAACAGTCTGAAAAAGTGGAATTCATCTATCTTCCTAGAGTTCTTGACGGAGATTGTTCATAAATATTTCTGTCCCAAGTGGAGAAGCTTCTCCAACCCAATCTGCAGGAGGGACCCATATTTTCTCTGACCATTAACCTGTACAAGATTAATATTACATCTTTCCTTCTACTCCAGGAGTGGAGATTTATTGTCTTTATGCAGAGAATTAATCCAAGCCTTGCTCTCAGCGGTCATCATATTGTTCATCATTAGAGAATGATCTGCTCTCTCCATGGCTCATAATCAGTGGGTAGAAGGCTAGCCCCTAGTCCCCTCCAAAAGTTAGCTTAGTGATTGTTTCTCATGACACAATACAGCGTACACTGCAAAGGAATGGCATGCATGGGTGTCATCCACGGAGGAAGCCTATCCTAAAGCCCATGCAAAAAAAAGCCTGCCTAGACTCTGTACTCTGGAGTGATGAGTCCAAGATAAATGTTTTTGGAACTGATGTCTTTAAAACTGTATGGCGCTGCAAAGATGAGGAGTGCAAAGATAAATGCATAGTACCTTCAGTGAAACATGGTGGCGGCAGTGGCCTTCTGTGGAGCTGCATGAGTGCTGCTGGTGTTGGGGAGCTGCATTTTATTAATGGTGTCATGAATTTACAGATGTACTGCTCTATATTGATAGAGAAGATGCTACCATCACTACGTGCCCTTGGTCGTCATGCTCTTTTCCAACATGACAATGATCCAAAACACACATCTAAGGCCACTGTTGCATTTCTGAAGAAGGACAGGGTGAAAGTGATTCAGTGGCCAATCATGTCTCCTGATCTGAACCCAATCGAACACCTGTGAGGAATTCTGAAGAGACACGTTGAGCATCACTCTCCATCCAGCATCCAGGCTCTAAAAGAGGTTGTTCCTGAAGAATGGGAAAAGATAGACGTTGCAATATCCTACCAAATTGTTCATTCCTTGCCTAGAAGACTTGGTGCTGTCCTTACAAATCATGGAAGTCATACAAAATACTAGATGTAGTAGTTTTTGTTGTGGGGTGGATTCATTTTTGCATCGACTAATTTGAGTAAAACTGAAGATTTTGTAATCTTATTACTAACCTTACTTTCATGTAATGAGCTAAAAAAATGTTCTATAAAACTTAGTTTTGTCAAACGTTTGGAAAATGTTTTTGTGTTCATTGAGATATTGATTAAAATCTTACTTTTCAAAAGGGGTGTACTCATTTTTGTTGAGCACTGTATATATATATATTGGGGGTAGCTCAGGTGGGGGAATCACCTGCCCTGGAAAAAAGGTAGTCCAGACAGCAGGGCTTTCGTAAAATCTGACTTGTCATCAGTTTTATTTAAAAGGTTGCAAGTATCATAAACAAACAAAACAGAAAATAAACCCTCGCCATCCAGGCACTAACTAAACACAGGAGGTTCGTATCTCACCAGCAGGGGCGGACTGACAACTCATGGGGCCCCCTGGCAATAGGGATTCATGGGGCCCCTGTGTCCTTGCCCAAACTCAAAAAAGCCTATGAAAAAGGTACCGGGGCATCTCATGGGGCCCCCTACTGACCCCAGGCCCTCGGGCAGTGCCCGAGTTTCCAAATGGTCAGTCCGCCCCTGCTCACCAGTGAAGGGCTTCTCCCTGTCACCAACAAAAATCAACACAGTATGCAAATCTTTTCCTTTCTTGAACAATGCGTTACAATTCTCTCAAGGCTGCGGTTATCCCTGTTGCTTGTGCACCTTTTTCTACAACACTTTTTCCTTCCACTCAACTTTTCATTAATATGCTTGGGTACAGCACTCTATGAACAGCCAGCTTCTTTAGCAATGACCTTTTGAGACTTACCCTCCTTGTGGAGGGTGTCAATAACTGTCTTCTGGACAACTGTCAGGTCAGCAGTCTTCCTCATGATTGTGTATCCTACAGAACCAGACTGAGAGACCATTTAAAGGCTCTGGAAACCTTTACAGGTGTTTTGAGTTAATTAACTGATTAGAGTGTTACACCATGAGTCTACAATATTGAACTTTTTCGCAATATTCTATTTTTCAGAGATACTGCATTTTGGGTTTTCACTAGCTGTAAGCCATATTCATCAAAATTTAAAGGGAAGAAATGCTTGAAATATATTATTTTGTGTGGAATAAACCTATATAATATATGAGTTTCACTTTTTGAATTGAATTACTGAAATAAATTAACTTTTTGATGATATTCAAATTTATTGAGATACACCTGTATATGTACACTCACCGACCACTTTATTAGGTACACAAATTGCTAATCAGCCAATCACATGGCAGCAACTCAATGCATTTAGGCATCTAGACATGGTGAAGACAACTTGCTGAAGCTCAATCCAAACATCAGAATGGGGAAGAAAGGGGATTTAAGTGACTTTTAATGTGGCATGGTTGTTGGTGCCAGACAGGCTGGTCTGAGTATTTCAAAAAACTGCTCATCTACTGGGATTTTTACGTACAATCATCTCTAGGGGTTACAGAGAATGGTCTGAAAAAGAGAAAATATTCAGTGAGCACCAGTTGTGTGGACGAAAATGCCTTGTTGATGTCAAAGGTCAGAGGAGAATGGGCAAATTGGTTTGAGATGATAGAAAGGCAACAGTAACAATAACCACTCGTTACAATCAAGGTATGCAGAATACCATCTCTGGACACACAACATGTCAAACCTTGAAGCAGATGGTCTACTGCAGCAGAAGACCACACCAGGTGCCAGTGTGGCCATCTTCTGATGGCTATTTCCAGCAGGATAATGCACCATATCATAAAGCTTAAATCATCTTAAACTGGTTTCTTGAACATGACTATGCTATGAAGAATTAAGGCAGTTCTGAAGGCAAAAGGGGGTCCAACTGGGTACTAACAAGATGTACCTAATAAAGTGGCCAGTGAGTGTGTGTGTATATATACATATATATATTATAGAGACAGAGAAAGAGACAAGAAAGCCTTCCCTATTATTCCTGCTTCAATGACTACTCACAATTTTGGATTATCCATTACCTTCAGTTCCGAAGACAACTGTCACCAGGACAAATAGAGAAGTTAAATCTCCCCAGCAAGGATGCAGACAGCAAAAAAAACTTAGAGTAGTAAATTTATAGCACTAGAATCTTCAGTGAGTGATAGTTTAGTGCTTGAAACTTGTTTTATCAATGCCGTGCTGACAGTGTCCCTATGGGGCATCTGAGTGATAAGTGGGCTGCTTCCATGCACCAAGGGACTACCACAAGAACCTCAGGATGTGAATATAATTTTGGAATCCAATATCGAAGCTCTAAACAGGGATTTCCTAGTACAAAGTATTTTCTTTATTCCAAACATATATTACGGAAAAAGTCTATGCATTTCAGGGGGCACGCATTGCCACCTTGGTCAGGACTTATGGAGATATGAGATCTGTTTACATGAACTCAGAATGTGATGTACACTTTAGATATGGTTTGATATCAAAATAAACTCTGTAATGTTCATCAGCTGGTTTGGGGCCATGGAAGTATCCCACTCGGGGTGGACTGACCATTTGGAAACTCGGGCACTTCCCGAGGGCCCAGGGTCAGTAGAGGGCCCCATGAGATGCCCCTGGTACCTTTTTCATAGGCTTTTTTGAGTTTGGGCAAGGACACAGGGGCCCCATGATCCCCTATTGCCCGGGGGCCCCATGAGTTGTCAGTCCGTCCCTGATCCCACTTATCACCCAGAAGCAAAATAAAAACTTGACAGGCTTGCTTTTTCCATCCTGTAACTCATAAAGTGCACAGTCATTTCCCAAAAGTTATAGAAATCCTTTTGACAAGTGTCACCAGAACAGTTGTCCCCATTGGAATATTTCTCTAACATCAGCCTTGTGCGGTCCGATCCTTTGACTGGCATGCATTATGGAGGGGAGGAGCTCTCCTGGGTTTCCACACCCAGATGAACCGTGAGAAGGAGGCATGTGGGATGCTTTGAAGTGGTGGCATGTATATTGATCATCTAATAATACAGTAAGTATACTTTAATAGAAAGTTGTAAAATTTGTCACTTGATAGTTGAGGCTTGTAATTAATTTTGAACTCCACATGTTATTTGCCCATTTTCCCTCTCTTACCTCCTTTGCTTCATAGTGCTATTGGTCCAAGTCTTCATTCCCACTCCCCTGCAGCCATAGGCCTGAGCCAATGATAAAAATGATTACTCCATTTAGCAACTGGCTAGAGCAAGATAGCAGAAGTTAATAATACAAACTCAGTAGCAGGTATACACAAGGCAGACTGCCATAGAGAGGGTATAGTATACCACCAGGGGATTAGTCAGCCATGAGAGACTCTGTGAGTTTGCCCTTTCTTCTATTCAGAAAGCCTGCGTCACCATATGTCACCAGCTATTTTTAGTGAGCCCACTTGATTCCACTTCTATCCAAAATACCAGTTTGGACTGGAAAGGGTCTTCAAATCTAAAATAGAGTGAACTTATTTGCTGGGAAAACCAAAAAAAATATAAGGTATCCAAATGAAGGAAAGTGTATTGTGTAGACTGCCACTACCCCCTAACTGTGTAACACACCACAGTGACCAAATAAACTAAAAAAAATGGCACTATGCCATCATTTTAGTTTATTTTGTATCCAAATCTATATCATTCTGGAGACATTTATTTCATATCTTTTAAAGGCATAGACCTTCTTTGTGGCTTTTATTGTACAAATAAGAATATTGGCTGTACATATATTTTTCCTTTATACTCCTGTTAAAATCTAAATTTAGGGTAGGGGTACAAAATAAAAAGTGAAATGTCTCATTGGGGTCATTAAAACTATAATTCTGAGCATATAGTATGATAGGAGAAAGACATAGTGCTGACTTTCACTATGTAATGTAATGTCACATGTCATCTGGGACACATTTTCATTTGCTAGCTATCAGATTTAATTGCTTTCCCTTGTGTAAAGTTATCTGCATACATCTTCACTTTGTGGATATCCACTTTAGTTGTAGTTCTGTCACTGTTTACTTGCCATGGGTGGTAAGGACAATTGGTCTTCTTTGCCAAGGACAAAAGCAAAGTGCACAGTTCAGGAATTATTGTTACAGCATGGTTCCAGTTCTACAGAACTGAACTAGAGTCTAAGTTAAATCAAAAAGATTACTCAGTCTCGAGGTGACTGGGCATTGCCTCTGACTTATCTGCTGATTGACTAGAGTAGTACTGAAAGCATCACTACTCTGATGCCCCAAAAAGACGGTGCATGAAAACATTGGATTATGAGCCACCTAACTACCACCTACCTAGTGAACTGATTGAAGAGGGAAATGTATGTCCTTTTTGTCTGTCATTTTGTTTTCCCCCTCCATTTTATATCTTCTACTCCATGTTGATTAATTGTTTTATATTATACCTAGAATGAGGTAATGAAAATATACTGTGTCAGTTATGTGTTACAGAACTGTGCTCACACATTCTTTTGTTTTTTATCTTAGCTTAGCTTTGGTAGAGGCAGGGAAAGTATCCAGTTATTTTTTTGTACTAACAGCATTTGTTTCTACTATGATACAGTTAAAAGTTAACCACTTCTGCTCCGTGGGAAAATAACTGTTGGTTTCTTGTAACTGATTCAAGGTCTGAGAAACCTAAATTGTTCACGTACACAGCCTTGACAAGTATCCAGTGAAATTCTATTCTATGATTCTCTGTTACAATTTATCATATATAAGGAGGAATATTATGAATAAAGATTAGACTGTTCTTTGGAAGCTGGTGTGCATGTGTGGATTTCTTTCTTGCAGAGAACAGTCTCTTGGGCCCAACGGGGGGGGGGGGGGGCCGGAACCTACCAGTGGTCATTAGAGGCACAAATCCCTTTCACTGATAACCTTAATGTTTTTGTATAATCAAAAGTTATTGTTTCATTTTGGATTAAGTAGGTAAGGTTTAACACCCTTTCCAGGTTTTTGTTTTTGCAATCATTGTATCATTGAGGAAAGTTAGAGGAAATCTACCAATGTGAGAGAAAAATTCCCCTCTTAGACAGTTGTCCCCAGAAAAGGTGCCCTCATAACAAGATTTACTGTATCTCTTGTTGTGAGTACAAATTTAAAATGTCAGATTTCTCTTCAGCTTCTTTTTCAGTTACAGTGGCTACTAGTACAAATAGAAGGGTGAATCTTCTCAATGGGGACATAGACAGCAATGTATGCATTTTTTTGTAGCATCCTGCTAGGTATGATGTTAGGATGTAGATAGTTTAGTTTACTATAGTGTGGTCTCCTGCTTAACAGGAGACAGATAGGTAAAACATAGCATCTTTTCTGCTTAACAGGAAGCTATAACTGTTAACTGAGAGATCCCATGTGGCTCATAGTGCTGCTGTTGTGATTGGCTCCTCTGCATCCAGGAGGTCTCAGGTCAGCACCATAAATATGGATGCAGTTCCAGCCAATTACAGGGAATGGTGCCCCTGAGCATGCTGGGTACCAATATTTATTTTCAGTGAGCACATGGGATCTGGGTTCTTCTTACTCTTCATCTGAGGAGGGAGTTCCAGCCAGGGGAGGCAGCTGCTCCCCTGGCTCATGCTGCCAGGAGGCCTCGGGTTGGTGGACAGAATGCTGAAACCCAGGGTGCCGATGAGATCTAAGTGGGATACCTACAGAT